CTTGGTAAACAACCATTACCATATTTAATTTTTCAAATTGATTTTAATTTTTTCTTCTGATAAAATCGAAAATTTTATGAATCGATTATTCATTTTTGTTACAATTTTCATTTATAATTTTTTTTTTTCTTTTTGTTCTTACTCTTTTATTAAATATAATTTTATTATTTTTAATTTTATTTTTTGGTTTATAATTAGTTTATAAGTAAATTAGATGTAAGATTCTAGGAAAAAAAAAAATTGTACAATTATTATGAAATAAATAAATAAAAAATTTAATAAAAAAGAAAATTAAATTGAAAAAAGAATGACTAAATAAAATTATAAATTTCTGTTGTTTTATTTACTTCCCTTCTAATTAATATACCGATATGGTTTAGAAATCTTCGTAATTTTAATATTATATTTTATTAAATATTTTAAAATATGATTTAAATTAATATTTAAATTTTTTTTAGGAATAAATTTTTTTCTCATACAGATTTCAGAAATTAACATTAAACTTTATATTTTGACAAATGAATCGATATTTTTTTGAATTTAATTTTAGTTCATCTTTGAAAAGCAAAATTAAACAGGTCACTTCTTCTCAAATTTCTTACAAAATTCCTTAATAACTCAAATACAATTCCTTAATAACAGAATATAATGCTCAACTCGATACAAACAACGGTATTTTTTAAAAGCATATAATAGCTTAATATTACATATAAAAGCCATATAAGTGCAGTTATCAATTTATTATCGGTATTTAAATCAGAATTATATATGGGACATGATTAATTTTAACATAAAATATTCATCACAAACATTAAGATAATTTTAGAACACCAGACGAAGATTATCATAAACGCAATAATACAAAAACGTAACGTAATGGATATGCAATATGTTAACACATACAATTGCGCTACTCATAACAATTTCACTATATTGCTTGCAATTAATGAATGTTTACGAACAGAGTAGAATTGCAACATTTTGTTTATGAACGCATAAAGCGCAGTTGCGACATAATGCGTTTATGAAAAGACCTTACATTATATGTATGACAATAAATTATTTTAAAATTCTAATTCTACAATTTATTTACAGTTAAAAAAATAATTATCATTCAATAAATTATAAATAACTTACGATATAAAATTATAAATTATCGGGATTCATTTTAATAAAATAGAAATGCAATTTTATTGATTTTTAATAAAATAAATTCGAATTAACTCTACAATAATGTACAAAATGTTGACCTTAGCATCTTGGCATATAAAATTTAATTAAAAGGTTTTCCAACTAAAGAATACCAATTAAATATTATATAATTTAAATTCAAAATAAATAAAAAGACAGTTAAAAGCCTTTAATGTTAAAATTACAGTCAAATGTTTTATAATTTCAAAAATATTACTTTCATATTCTAAATATCAATTGTTTTTAATAAACGAATTGAAAATCTTTATCCGAATCAAAAGAAAACTTCATATAAATTTTTATACTTTGATATACTGCTCAACATGGATATTTCTTTGATCATCTGAATTTATTAAACCTACAAAGAATATTGAAATTAATTAGTTTATTCCGATCAATTATTATTGATTTTTTCATTTATGATTTTCATTTTTCATTAAATTAACGTATGCAAAGAAGATATATTATGTATAACGTATGTATAAAAGTAAGAAATAAATTTAGACAGAACGTTAGACTTACTGAGATTAAGAGAAAGCAAGATTTTTTATTAATTAACAAAACAAACAACCATATTTTCTAAAATGCATTCCATATTGTTATAGAGTAGGCCTCTTCATAAACGCATGTTCATAAACAAAATGTTGCTTCTCTAATTTGTTCAATAATATCGTAAATTTTCGCAATAATCATAACGTAATTAGTATGAGTAGCGCAGTTAAATCATATACCCTGTTTTTATGTTATATAATATATATATTTAAAAATATATTGCTGTTCATCGTGTCCAATTTCTGAGTTTTGCAGTTATTATTTTGAAGTATTTACAATTACAAAAAATCTCTGATATCATTCAATAATATGTATGTATGTATTACAAAAATTGAGCATATAACTTCAAATTTTTAATATCGTTTTCATTCTGAAAACCGCAATATGTTTAAATACAACATTTGAGATGAGTTGTATTCAAACCTTTATCTTATTGATGAGCCTTTATCTTATTAGCAACATTATTTAATTTTACTTATATACATATACATATATTGCTGTGATCCCTTTTTTTTTCATAAACAAAAAAAATATTCATTATCCAATGAGAAAATTAGACATAATATAAAGATACTTGAAAAAATACGGAAGTATAAGTTACAACAGATTCAAATTATAGAAATTTACTCAAACTCCAAGTTCCAGTGAAGAAACTAAAGCGATTTATTTATGTTATTACATATATATACATGTCTTTACGTCGTAAATAAACATGTAAACGCAATAACAAGGCAAATTACGAACGTCAACTTTTATTAGGCAATATGACAATTTAAATAATGCAATTTATGCGTCATTAAATACACAAAAAATTAATTTATCAAAAAAAAATTTTGCAATGACACAATATGATGACGTTTGTAAATTAAATCCATTTAGCTAACTCATAAAAATTAATTTTGAAAAATTTTGTTTATAAAATTTTTACATAAAAATTTAATTTGACAGCTAACTGACTTATATTTACTACCGGTTATACTGATGTGATGAATATTGGGCAGGTTTACATATGTCTGCATTGGGCGCAGCCGTTCTTTTTGTAATGTTGTCGCACCTTCTTTCCCATAATAAAATAAAATTTATGTATTAGAGATTGTGAGAGGCACAAAGTAACACAAAAAGCACATATGTAAATGAGTCCGTTGATATTAATCTTGTTTTTTTTTTTTTTGTTAATTTTTGACTATTTTATATTTTTAAATAAAAGGTTTTGTATCCCTTAAAATTACTAAAATTGATTTTATATCAGCTATTACGCAATTGAAGTGAGCTACACACATTGATTCAGATTAAAATGTTAAGCATAAACTATTAAGCATAAAAGTGTTGTCTGCTCTTTAAATTACCAAAAATATTAAGCATGTTGTCCGTTCCGGTTGCTGCAGGAAATTTGATACAAGTTACGCATCTTAAGCAAATTTATACTTTTTACCAGTATACGAATGGATCAGGAGTATTTGAAGATTTCTCATATAATTATTTTTTTACAGAATACGTATTCACCTAAGTACACATTAGTACTTGAGGATCTATATATAAATATTAATCTTAAGAGCATATAACACAACTGTCAAAACTTTGTTTTTATATTGTATATGCAACTTCCTTAAAGTTTCTTAAACTTGTGTATATTGTATTTTCCCCATGTAAAGCGTTCAAAACATTTATAATAAACGTCAAAATATTTAGTTTCCTATAAATGAAGTAATATATGTATGTTATGCATGTATTATGTTGCTTAAAATTAAATTATGAATAAAATTTTGCGTCGGCCTAAAAATATGCAAATTTGTTTCAATGTATGTAATCAAAAAATGAATTTAAGAAGCAAAAACTTAAAACATTGTAGTTAGTTATAAAAGTATATAAAAATTTTGCTCTAATTTTAATGCATGAAATTTTCTACTTTATTATAAATATATGTATGAGTGTGTGTGTGTTGCATTTATCCTATCAATTTAAATATATAAATGGATGTATGTATGCAATATATTTATTTTACGATCAAAATTAATGAAAATTAATGAAAAAATGCATGTCAAAAACTACCAATTATTTTATAAAATTTTATTTAAATTTTATTTTATTATTTGCAAACAAATTAAAATTTATTACATTTTTTTCCAGCAAAAAAAAAAAAACAAAAAAAAAAATAATATTTTTATTTTTAAAATTTGAAATTTTTGATATACGGTGATTATAAGAAAAATAAAAATTTGGCTCAGCGCTTTGGCAGTGTGGTTAGCTGGTTGTGTAGCTATATATTTCACAGCCACTATCTACCCTGCCGCCGCGACTAGCTTTTACAACATAAAACTTTCAATAAATATGAAAAATTCAAAGTTTCTTTTGCTCATTATTGCTGTTGATGTTTCAATTCTTCAATATTGCTGTAAATGATTATTACGAAATAATATTGAGACATTATAAAGAAACCTTGCATATAGTGGTATTAATTCATCATAAAAAATCAGAAATTATTATGAAAAATATCAATCAATTCACAGAAATGGTTTGTATACGTAAACAATAAGGATTTTCAAATACTAACAAAGTCAAAATGTGGTGAATGATTCTATTGTTCAAAAGATGAGAAAAATATTGGAATATATAAGGGTTTACTCATACTTTTAACAAGAACTCTACATAATCTACATATGTACATTAGAGCAAGAATTATTTGAGTTTTTACAATAAAAATCTAAAAGTTAAAAGTCTAACTTTAAATAGTTTCTGCTATAATACTGAAAACTCAGAAAAAAAAAGAAAAAAAAATTTGAAAATTTCAATAAAGAGGTGGTGCGTCCAGATAAAAGTTTCATACTGCTCCAGCTTAAATTTACACTTCTTGGCATAGTATGGCCTTTATTGAGACAAGAAACTTTAGTTCTACCATTTTTGACGCAAATGTACTCTTAAAGGACGAAAAGGATTTTTAAATATAATATTTGTAAAATTCTTCAAAGCTAATATTTCTTAAACTAATGAAGTTTCGCTACAAAATCGAGAATTTTCTAATTTTATTTTAAATATTTAAAAATAATAAAGCATTGACTTTTAAGTCTTCAAATATAGAACGTTGAAAATTTAGAAATATCATTAATTTTTTATTGAAAATTAAATTTATTTTTAAAATTGTGGGTCTAACTTTACATGCATACACATTTTGTTTAATTTAATAAATTATTATCAAGATATTGGATAAGAACGAAATTTTCGCCTTAAAAATTGGAAAATTTTTATATTGAATTACTGAAATGGTGCAACCAAATCCTATTGAACCAAAAAAGAAGAAAAAGTAAGTTATTATGCATTTTGTTTTTTAATGTTTGAAAGATTGTAAAAAGTTTTACATTCAAGTTACGTCATACCACAAATTAAACTACGGAAAATAAGTTTTTGGACAAAGGTTACGGATAAAGTTGAAATTTTATTATGTAATCTTAAGATTTCGAGATTAACACCAATACAAGCAAATCGTGAACGTAAAGTTGTAAGTTTTTTATCATTATAATTATATATTTCTTTAATATACTACATATGTTTGTACGTATGTATTTTTAAGGCGCCTGAAATGTGTATTGTTGCTCCAATTTATTGTAAATTAAGTCAAAAACCTATAAAATTTTGGTTACCTTGTTTTCTCGATAAAATCAAAGAAATTGGAAATGAATTACATATGAAAACTAAACTATCATTGAAAATTCAAGAGACTAGAATTCGTCCAAACTCTGTATATCCTAAATTTATTGTTGATTTCAATAAAATTGAAATTTTTATTGGAGAATCTTGTCTTTTTGGTGAAAATATAAATTCATTAGATTTAAATACAATGGAAAAATTTATTAAAGAAAATGATTCTATAATTTTAATGACAGCAAATAATCGATTTATTGCATTTTGGAATACTGAAAAAATTTTTCTGTGTTATTCACCAACTCAAGGATTTGGTAAAAATCTCGAATATAGTTTTATTTTAAAATCAATAGATTTTCAAGATCTTTTCAATTATTTAAAATCAAACATTAATTTTGAGGGATCATATGATCTCTACTGTGTTAGAATAATTAATAAAACACCAATTGTACTAAATTTAAATGAAATATTTAAAGAACGTGAAGATAGAATAATGAATAGAGTTGCTGATAAAGACACAATTATAACAGCCGATAAAGATGTTGTATTAGAAGAAAATGATGAAAATGTTATTGAACCGGGTCCACCAATGGAAATGAATGATATTGATAGAAGTAATGATATTTTCAAAATTCCATTCAGTAAAGACTATGTTAATGAATATTATAATGACAGAGGTTTTTTAAGTGGTACTATCGGATTATATGTTAAAGATCCAGAAAAAATAATTATTTCTAATATTGCTGCTGCAATATACCTGCATAATATAAGATCTGTACTGTGGAACAAAAAAACTATCAATGATATTTTGAGTTTTGGTAAGAATTTTTATTTTAATAATTAACTTACATCACTTTCATGCATACTCGTATAACATAAAAACTCTGTACCGTCATGCCTCTCTATAATTTTCCCATATTTTCGACTGTATAAACTAGAATATTGCAAATTTACGCATACAGGATCCTATTGCGCAAACTACTTTTTGTTTTAACTTTTTAAAAAAGTACCTTATTTTTTAGTACAGTACAGTTCTTTAGTGGTTTATATCTTCGTGCAACAGAAACTTTGCACAATTTTTAAATTAATTGATTAAAAGAAATCAAAAAGTAGTTGGTGCAACAGGGCTCAAATTCGTAGAACTGAAAAGGGTAATTCTGGTTTAATTCAGAATTGAAATTGAAGTCGATTAAAATTATTATTTGTGAATGCCTCACTCAATTATGGTTCGGTTCTGTATGGGTGACTCTGTATGGGAAAATCTATTTGACTTAGATTGTTAAAAAAATGAAGTGAACAAACTAAAAAAAATTTCATTCTATGATTATGAATTTTAAAATTTAAGGTGATCAATTATATGGACAAAGCATTAAAACTGGTATAGTCAATGATATTTATTGGGTGAACAGAATTCCTCAACCAATAACTTTTGGTGCTAAACAATACAAATTGATATTTGAAAAAGTTATTATTGGTGATATAATGACCGAAGAAAATTTTATATATTCCATAAAACAAGGTATATCAGCATTTTTTAAACATTCTGATCTTGGTATTATTTATGGTCCACAACCACAATTAATATGGCAAGAAGCTGGTCTGTATTTTACATTTAGTCCAAAAGAAAGAGATCCTATTGGTAGAAAATGGACTAGAGCATTATCAAGTAGTTTAGCCGGTGATGTAGATTTTAATGAATTACCACAACAGGGATCAGCTTGCGTATCATGGTTTAAAAGTAAAATATCTTTATCTGATGCTTATTTAGCAAATATAACATTAAAACATCGTAAAGATCAATATCGAATTATAAGAATAAAAATATCTGAAATACAAGATACTTCGATAAATATGAAAAATTGGAAATCATATGCGCCTGGGAAATGGCGTGTCATTGGAGATAAGAATATTTGTCATTATATTCAAAATAGTAAAGGCGGTTTAGCCGAAATTTTTCCAAAATCATTTACAATAGCTTGTGTCAATTCGTTGTATACCAAAGTATATGACCCAGATAATTGGAAATCTAAAAATATTGATGAAATTTTAGAATATGGAAATGATTATTATAGAGAATCAATACATGAAAATCCAATTTTATTAAATGAATTTAATTTTAAGAATTTAAAAAGAACTTTTATATTAGGTGGAAAAAGATTTCAAATTGTTGTTGCTGCAAATAAATATCAAGGTCAAGTCTTTTATAATAAGAGTAATTCACCAGATTTAGCAACAGGTATCTAATCGTTTTTTTTAAATTTTGTATAGGGTGATTTTTTTTTGCTACTTTTGTGTTTTTATTTTTTATGCCTCAACATTGATTCATTACAGTTGATGATGCAGTTACAGGTTCCTCTGAAACGTAACGTCTCACTTGCAATTGTAGTTTCCAACAAAGCTGCTACTGCAAGTCTTTATTTTTAAAAGAACTGCTTTAAAATTTAAGCAGTTCTTATCAAGCATACACACTGCAATCTATAGTACTATAAATTGAGCTTTTTTAGAAGAATTTTATTATCATTTTACTGATACTAATTAAGAAAACGTTTCTTAAACATTTAATTTCACGGTTTCACCAATCAATTAGTTACGCGGAAGTTATATGATTTGACATTCTTAGTAGATTATTTTCCTCAGGATTAACAATATTTATTTTGGAACCTTGAAATAATCTACCTGAAATGTTTCTTAGTAGTCCTTACAAATTTAAATTATTTTGAAAAAGCAAATGGCAACTATTTGTTTTTGGATATATTTCAAATTTTTCAATTGAAATTTGCAATTGTTCTTTATTCTTTAAATTTATAAATCAAAGCGTTTAAAGAATCATCCGCTACTTATTTCATTACATTGTTAATTATATACATATGTATATATATTTCAATTTATATTTTCACATTTTAGCTTTAAAATTATATTTTGATGACTATCAATTTGGATTGATACTTTTTGGCGAAAGAATAATTCCAATATTTCAAAAGAACTCATATTACCATTTGTTATTTGTTTACGATAAAGTTTTTGGAAAAACTGATAATTGTGCATGTAGTAAGTTTTTTTTATTTTTTTTAATTTATATTAATAAAATTGTTTTCTTTTTGAAATTTCGGTTTAATTTTTTTATTTTTATTAATAAATGTCAAGATCTTACTCTACGTAAACACAATATTAATAAAATTTAAATTAAAATTATAATAATAACCATAAAAGATCGTAAATCTCGAAATTTATTTAGATATCATAAGGATAAATTTCATTTGTCTACGGTATCACAAATTATATTTTATTACGTTTTTATAATTATAATAAATGCCACATTAATGTAACATAAATTTTGACACAATTGTCAAAACAATTGTCGTTAATAATATAATTCAGTCTTTAATCAACATGTAAACAATTCTTTCTGAATATTTTAGACAAAATAAAATACAATTTAAAATATAAAATTATCCCTCTTAAAGATTCCGAAAATATTTATAGTGATGTATATGGTCATGCATTTGCGTTACGATTTAAGGATATCTCTACAATGTATGAAGAAATTTTGACAATCATGAGCTTAAATGACGATGAGAAGGTAATAAAAAACTGAAAGAGCAAAAATCTGATCTAGTAAATAATATGAATTATAATTAATAATAAAAATTTTTTTTTCTTTTGTTTGATTCTTTTTAGTATTCTCTTTATATAGTTGAAGGCAAAGATCGTCCACCATTATTAAATTATAAACAGTTTGGAGAAAATGCAGCTATTTTACATCCTAATGGTGATTTGCACGAAGGAAGTGACGTATTCAATGTAAGAGCTGATAAACAAACATATGCAAATATTCTCATTGCATTATGCTATGTTAATATAAGCCGACCATTAGAATGGTCTCCAGAAGATGTTGCGGATTTATTACAAATAGGCGACAGCATATATTGTAAAATAATTGCAAATCTTAAAGATTGCTCTGAATTATATTATAAATTAAAACTTGAAGATATAACACCAAATATTGGTTGTAATAAATTTAATTATACTGTAACATCAATTGAAGGTATTTTTAAAATATATGCATTTCCTGAAGCAGAAGAAGAAGAAGGTGAACATGAAATAGAAGACGAAGAAAATGAAAAAAGTGATGTACATACAATTGCTGAAAGAAGCTTTAGAGTATTACCACAATTGGAACAAATATTAAATGAATGGGAAGAATTTGAACAAATACAAGCAATATTAGATTCAAGAATAATTAAACTTGGATTATGGAAAAAAGATTTGGTTTATTTCATATTTGATCCAAAAGCAAGTTTACCCGATGGTAAAATGACACCAAGGCGTATTCAAAGAGCTGCAACAACAATAGAATATGGTGAAAATGATATTACAGATTTGCGTTATGTTGAAAATAATGGAATTTCGTATGTTGCATATTTTTATGATATTACATCATTTGTTTCACATATTTTATCATGTATTCCGCAAGATTATCATTCAGAAAATTTTACATTGCACAAATTAAAAATAATATGTCCACCTGTACCAGCATCAGAAATGGTTATTAAGTATATGCCGAATACAAATTTTATTATAACTGCCCCAAATATTGGTATAATAAGAGGAACGATATCACAAGATGAAGTAATGTTTCAAAACCCAAATAAACAAGAAATTGCTAATTGTATGGTAGCTATCGCATTTGCTTTTATAACGCCTTCAAATAATTGGACATGCGATCTTATTAATATTATTTTAAAATATGGTGATCGTTTATATGTCAAAAGTTTAGATCGTTATGAGAAACAAAATTGTGAATCAATTTCTATGAATAATAAACTGCGTTCATTAACAATTGAAAATATAATAGAAAATATAAATATTTATAAAATTTTATTTAAATTTACCGTTGTTGGAAAAATTACAAATTGTATTAATCCAGGCTGTGAATCAAATAAAGATATTAAAAAATTTTTTGCACGATTACAAAACATTGACAATGGTTGGGGAGCTATAATAAATATTAAAGATAGAACAAATACTGTTTGGAAACAAGGAACGTTATTTTTTCTCTTTGACCCTTTTAAATGTGATCCAGTCGGCTTCTCAGCCACCAATGGTGTATCATGCCTAATGAGATTTAATAAATTTGAATTATTTATGGAATTTTTCATTAAAAAATATTTATGCAAAGATGGTCCCAATAATTTTGAAATAATAACAGTAAGTTAAGCAAAAACAAAACACACTGCCAAAAATTTAAATTATTTCAAATTACAAACAATTTATTAATTTCTTATGCTTTTTAATTTTAGATTTTTTGTGAAAAAAGTATGCCACCTTCTATACCAGGATTTTATTTGGATAAATATAATTTTGCACTTCAGAAACCCACAAATCAAATTGTATTTGAAGATACCGAAAAAGGAATGAAAACATTAAAGAGATTTATCGATTTTACAAATAAGTCGATACGATTTCTATGTTTAGCTTCCCTCTTGTACAGCCGTGTCGAATATGTAGAGCTTTGGAATTTTTATGTTTTTGAAAGGGTAAAAAACTTACAACAGATTTTAGAAATAACATTCAAATTAAATTTTTAATTGTAGATAATACTTTTAGCTGAATTTTTACAACAACAACTATATCGTAAAACCTCAATACCAAATAACAATCATTTAGAAGATATAAACTTTAGTGTCAAAATTGATAAAATTTTGTACAACATTGTTGTTCATCATATAATACAAGTGTCACCAGCAACAGAAATCGAATCAAAAAACTTGAATATGCGTCAAGGTTTACAATCTTTCTTCTTAAATCATAATTATTGTATAATAACAAGTGATAATAAAAGTTATGCAATTTGGAATGAAGGTCCAAAATTCTATATGGTTTGGTTTAGAGAAAATGATTCCAAATTAATTTTACTAATATCGCCAAATTGGATGAACTTTTATGATATTATATTGGAAGAAATGGATTCAAATTCACCCACCTATTATATTAAAAAAGTTATAATAACCCGAATAAAAATAATGGATATTAATTGTAATGAAAATGAAAACAAAAATTCAAAAACTAATATTAAATCATTAGACGATGATCTAGATGAAAAATGTCGTGAGTGCGCTTTTACAAAATTTATAGAAGAATATATGACAAGAAATGAGATTAAGAATAAAATGAATGCTAATTTTAAACCATATTGTCGAGGTGTTAACGTTATATGTGGTGATTTAATAAGAACCAATGAATTTATTTACAGTGATCGTCTATTTTGTGAGGTAATTAAAACCTTTTTTTTTGCATGAAACTTAAGGAATTTTTGCATATTTTCTCAACACTTGTTTATCATATCTGTTCACAACACTTTTCATTTTTGCATTATTACATGGGTTATTATTGCAAATGTATTTTTAGTATTATGCATATTTGTATAATTATTACAAAAGCTTATGCAAATAGCAAGGAAAATTAGTTTAAAGCAAATGAACCTACTCGTAATTCTGTTTCTAAATAATCATACCCATTGCTTTTATATAATTATTCATAAAAATTATCTATATATTATGTAAGTAATATAAACATTAATATATTTATGTTTCTTTTATTATAATAATATAGTATCTTAAAGCATGTTGTGTAACATCAGCAGCAATGTTTTTAATTTTTCAACCTGCAACATGGGATAAAAGTACATTAAATGAAATTGTTTCTACTGGAATGGACTTATTTAAGAGTTATGGTGCTTTCAATAAGAAAACTCAATTTGATATTATAGATTACCAAAGTAATATGAATTTTTTAAATTATAATGTTTGTATAAAAGCAGAAATACCAACTGAAGAAAACTTTGAACTGAATAGTATTTTAGAGCCACTTGAACATTGTTTGAAAAAAAGTAAAATAGCATATATTGGTGTTGAAGAACTATTCTATGTAACAATAATGTTAGATGAACAATATAATTATATGTTTTATGGTGGTGCAGCACCATCATCTATACAGGATATTGAAAATGAAACGAGCTGTTTAATAAGAGCTGATTCACTTCAAAAATTAATTGAATTTTTAATGGGAAAGTGCAAAATAAAGAGATCAGTTTTTATTGGACAAATAAATGCTAGATTTTTATGAACTAGTTTTGTTTATGTATTTTTGTCAAAAAAAAAAAATAATGAAGTTTAATTACTCTACAATAATGATTTATACATACGTACATATGTATTTGATTTATGTGAACACTTAAATAAATATAAAATTTTAATGTGTATAATTTGTAGCTTATTTTATTTCTTTAAATTCTTTTTCAAATAAAAATTTAAGATTAGAGAAATTCGACAATTCAGACATGCACTAAAATGTACTTACAAATCTGCAGAAACTGAATATTTTACTTTTTATATGTAGCATTTCTTAAATAATTCTTCAATATCCAACATTTTTCTATTATGATATTTTTCTAATTTATATTTTTGCAGTATTTTTAAAAAACTTAAATTTTCTTTAGAACTTTCATGGACTGCATTTTCGAACATGCTATTTTTGTAGATTTTCGGAATTATCAAACGTGACATAAGTTGAAACTGAATTATCGATCCCCATTAAAAATAAAGAAAAAAATTTTAATGTAGTATTAATGTTCTACAATTTATAAGTTTAAATCTTTTTTACTTCTATAACGGATACAGGTATCCCATGATTTACGCCCCCTCGATATACGACATTTCGATTTACGCTCTTTTAATTTTTAATACCACTAATTTACATAACGTCGTTTCCCTAGTTTTAAACTTCTTTTTTCCGAAGTAAATTTTTACTTAAAAATTGTTTTTTTCATTTTGGCAATCCAATTTTTTGTCAGACCTTGAAAATCGATTTTTTTAATCCCATACATTTGATTTTTATGTATGTACAGAAATATATCATATGTATAATAAAGAAATGTATAGCAATTTTCTATTAGTACCTTACAGAAAATAATAATAATTCTGTGAATCTTAAAGAATTTGAAAAATATTTAAAAAGAAATTGAAATAACTATTTAGCGTTTTGTTACAAAAATGTATTTACAAAAAAATTGAAAAATTTTTAAGTTTATAGGACATAAATAATTGTTGTTTATTATTTCATAGATAAAAAGGAATGTGTATGTATATATATATATAAATTTTTTTAATATAATTTTTTTATATGTACCTCGAATAACGTCATTTCGATTTACGTCGCAAATTTTCAGTCCCAAAAACGTCGTTAAACGAGGGATACCTGTAATTAGATTAAAGATTTTGATAGCAGATAATTTATATAGAGTTTGCGAATATATATAAGACTTCTGTATAAAGCCAATATATAATGTAATTTTCATTGGAGTATGAATTTATTAAATAAGTAATTATTAAACATATTTTAAAAATTGTATTAAATTTTTAAGTTATCCTACTTTTAAGCTGTATTTAAAAAAAAAAACATGAAAATGCATTTTGTAGGACTGAAGACAACTACTAACTTCTCCTTAAATTTCGTATTCAAAATTGTAGTAAAATTAATATTGCTACACAATTCTACAATTAGAGTTTATTGACTGCGAATTGTCTATTAAAAACCTTATTAAAACAAATTGGAAATTAGGGTAAAACGTTTCTGTAAAGAATTTCTGTACAAATTTTCATATTTCTATTTTATAAAAAATTCACATAAATATTTGAAATTAAAGTAAAAAATTAAATAAAATACAGCAGATTATATACAAATTTATTTTATATACTAAATTCTATATATATTTATATAATGTATAATGTAATCTTTATGCTTAAACTTAAACTAAAATTGAGAATATTAAACTACAAATGAATTTTATTTGCGGTAGAATAAATATTTTTATTAGTTCTTCTGTTTTTGTATTTTTTTTTTTCTATTTTATTTTATTTATTTTTAAATTTTACTTATATAGTTTTATTATGTTACTTTATTTATACTGAAACAAAAAAATTTAATATTTAAAACTAGTATTTAAAAAAAAATCATTTATTTATTTATTTATTCTTATATTTTTTTTATTTGTTTTCTTTTTTATAATGATGAAGATCAATTAAATACTATTTACCTTCTATTGAGATTCTAAATATATATATATATATATATATGTATGTATATGTGAAATGTATATTATATATAATTCTTATACGTAAAAATTTAAAATAAAAAAATTAAATTGTTTAAGTTATTAAACAAAATAAAAATAAAAAATTAAAATTATTATTTACAAGATTTTATTGTTTTATGATTTTTAATTTAAAAAAAAAAATGTTATTTACTAAGACCAAAAATTAAATTAAAAAAAAATTTTTTTTTTTCTATTTTAAATTAAAAATATAAACTAAATTATATGAAATTTTGTTATTAATCCTCCGATAATTTATAAATACAGTAATATCGTGTAGTTCAATCGAATTTAGTTTTTGTTATTAGTTCCTAAATCTAACTTCAACATAAAATTCTAAGTTTGATTTGAACTATTAGTGTTATACTGTACTGAGATTACAAGATCATTCCGAAGTACATAACTATTTTTGTTTTTCTATTTTAATAAAAAATAATTTGTTTTTTTCTCAATAGATCGATCAGTTTCGAATAAGCCTATTATAATTCTGTATACATAATTGGAATATGGAATCAACATAAATTATATCGAAAGGATGGTTAGGGGGAGGGGAACGTACATGACAATTAACATGAATAAGTGATATTAAATATACAATTAAATAGCTTCTAAATAATTTTAAACTATTATTTATAATATACATATACGAAATGGTTTTAAAAAATAATTTTTTTTTTTCTAAATTTTATAATATATTTATATTAATTTTATTAAAAAATAATAAAAATAAGGTGTAAAAAAAATTAATTTTAATTTTTTAATTAAAATTTCGAAATAAAGAACTAATTCAATTATTTTTTTCCAAACGTTGTTTTTTATCATTCAAAATTTTACTTAATCTAATAATTATTTATTTTAATTTTTCATATTTTTGTATACTTATATTGTTATAAATATTTTATTTTTGTTACAATTAAAATATATATTGTAATAAAATTATAACAACACTAATTATAGGCAAAATATATTTTTTAAAAATTTTTATTTTCTTTTATTTTAATTTTATACCTTTAATACCCTTTTATTAATATTTTAGATTTTCATGATTTGGTTGGGATTAATTTTTTTTTTTTTGTGATTATTTATATAGTAATAGTATATATGTATACATACAATATATGAAAATTTTTTCTATATTTTTTAAAATTCCAAATTGAAAATAAAATATTATTTAATTTGTGTTTTTATTTAGCATATTATATAATATATGTAATTATAATTTTGAGTCTAATATTTTAGATTAAATTTTTTTTTTTTTTAATTTTTATTATTCCTTTATTTATTTAGGAAATTTTGCTTTGTTATAATTTTTTTATTTAAAAGTTAGAAATAAAAAGAAAATGGTACAAAAGAAATCTTTAATATCTTTAAATTATTTTTTGAAAACAGAAATTAAATTGTAAAAAATTAAATACTTGCCAACCATTCTTTGAAAAAATTATAAATAAATTAAAATAATAAAATAGATTAAAAAAAATTGCATGAATACACACAAATTTTTTATGAAAAGTTTAATTAAAAATATTTATTTATACATTTTCAACTTTTTTATAAATCGACGGCTTCAAATAGAAACTATTCTAAGTAGACTTACAAAAAAAATTTCCCCTGTTTTGTGAATCCCACCCATGCACATGTCTTTATAAATTTTCTTACGCCTAGCTTTAATAGATATTTCACAAATATAAAAAAAAAAATTTTGTTATAAATAATTCGAAAGACTATCAAATATTGTACTTGTTCTTGCAGAAGCTAGCTTTCAGCAACATTATTATAAACAAATTCACATTATTTAAATATCTTAAAACCTTTAGTATTTGTTAACTTCCATTGTCTATTATGTTTGAAAAAAAAAAATAAGTTTTAAAACTTAAATTGCAATAATATTCACAAAACATTCAATTACAATGCAATATTACAAAAAAATTAAGCTGCAAGAGTTACAAGATTTTCATAAAAAATTCATACGTTCAACTATTCTTACATTTGAAAACATCGCTTTTTACATACATTTTAAAATATGATATTTATGTGTACACACATTAATAAGCATACTATAATATTTTACAATAAATTTTCCAAATTAACATAAAATAATATCGGACACAGTATTGTGAAATGACTTTTATTATAAGTATAAATACATTAAAAATATTATGTATTTGCTTTGCGGTTGTATCTCAACTTACAATATTATTTGCCATATTTTCTAATTATAAGAAAAAATTTGGAATCTATTATGAAAATTATTTGAAATATTTTCCCTCTTATTTCATTATGATAGTCGTTATTTTTAGTAAAATGAAAATTTTTTTTTTTGCTCTCCTGTGAACCTATGCTTTCGGTATAGAAAGTTTCATGTTTTATCCAGAACCATCGAATCGCATATTATAATTTTTCTTTTTTCTAAATTTTGCCATTTTATAATCAAATTTTTAAAATGAATCGCAAGATTTTTAATAAATTCATTTTCTGTTTTTTGTTTCTATTCTTTAGTGATCTATTTTTATTACAATTTATACATTAATTGCAAATACATACTTATTATGTATGTATAATCAGAAATGAAACATAAAAATTTAATCTGTACTAATTAATTTCAATTTTCTAAAGACAAAATTTGTTTTTTGTAATTCCTTTAATTTTTATATATTTTTTTTTTAATTTTTTTTTTTTTCATATTTGTTTTAAATTAATATTTTATCAACACATATTCAAAAAGAGAACAAATTTTCTATCTTTAATTAATTTGAACACTTTTTTCATAATATTATAAAAATTATTTTTTTTTTTATTGCTGGAAAAAGGATTGCATATATATAACTTTACACACACGTAAATAGATGAAGGAATTTTTCTCATTTCTTTTAAAAAATAATTTATTAAAACATGAGGAAACTAATTTAAAATAGAAATTAGTTACAAAAAACAAGAGAAATGTGTAAATTCCAAAAGAAATTGTGGGGAAAAAAATTGTGTATAAATTCCAGTAAAAATTAAGGAGAAATTGAAAATTAAATTAAGAAAGTTTTTTTTTTTAATTATTATAACAAAAAAAAATTTAATTTTCAATTGAATATTTAAATTTTTAAAGCAAGACTCTACATAATAATATAAATAATATAGATGATGAATAATGAGAATAAAAAATTAAAAAAAAATTAAAATAAACTAAAAATTTATAAGTAAATCAAAAAATAGCCAGGAATATAAATTAATAATTTTAAATAATTTATTTTTTATACGAAAATCTTTTATTTTTTATTAAATTATTAAATTATGCAAATTACTAAAAATTTCCGATTATATACCGACATTATCAAAAACAAATCATTTGAAGTATCGTATCTTAGACTAAAGGGGTGAACCAAAATGCAAACCAAACTTCAATTTCACTTATTCAGCAATTGAAATTGTATTGAAAGAAACATCAAATTAACATTAGATTTTCATTTTGGCAGATGCTCTAAATTCTGTAATTTTAAGGATAAAATCAAATTTCAAATTTTCTTTTTAATAAAATTTTTATATCCATGCCTGAGCGTTTCAATTCATAATTTTTTGAATTAAAAGCTATTTCAAGTTTTTCAAAATTTTAATGTTTCATTTATATTTCAAATTAAAATCACTTATACATTTATTATGCACAAAGTCTAATAATAAAATTTACTTTTTAGCTTTTCCAATATATTCATAACTATTGTCAATTCTATAAATAAAACCAGCCAGTATAAATTTATTTATTCAGAAATTAGATAAAAACAGTTTAAGTCAATTCTACAATTTTTATTAATTTTTTTCTGTTTATTTAGTTCATAGGTATTCTGAACCTTTAAAACAAATACATGTTTTTTTTATAGCGACTAATCAACATCCCAGAATTGATTATTTTGCTAACTATAATATTCAAGTTTTTCCAAATAGAAACATTTTAATTTTATTCGTATTTTTAAGTACTTTTTATTTATGTAAATGGCAAACAAAAATATGGGACTTAAGTAAATTGGGAAATAACAAATAAATCAAAAAGAGAATTAATTTATTCAATTCTTTTCAATATTATTCAATAATTTTGTTTTTTTTTCTTTGTGGTTTATTTTTTTCTTAGTTTATATGATTCTAAAAAAATTTTGATTTAATCTTCAATAAGTTTTTATGATGGAGACACCAAGTAAATAAATGTAAAATTTTTTAACGAAAGAGAAGCTAAAGATATTTTAAAAATTAACGACTTATGTTCGTTTGTTATTTTAAAAATTAAAATAAGAAATCCTAAATTAAAGTATACCAAATACTCGTATATAAAGATGTTACAAAATTAATTATATATTTACACTTAAAATTATCAATAAAACCAAAAGCTTTTTTAATACTGTAAAATTTTCTTCAAACGGATTCAATCAATGATTGCTTCACTAACAAAACAAAATAAAATTATTTTATTCCGCAATATTATTAAAAGAAAGTTCGAATTGTTTGAAATTTAATTAACATCTACATGATAATTTTGAAAATTTGGTTCCAAATTAAAAATTAAATTAAAAGCCTTTAACCTTAAAATTATATTATATTTCTCAAATATAACTACTTCAAATCCTTAATATAAACAGTAAAAATAATTTTTAAATTTTGTTTTTATGAAAAAAAAACACTTTCTAAATTCATTTGATTATACATTATAATTATTTAATCTAAAAAATACAAAAAAAAAAATATAGTTGAACAAAATTTAGTAATTTTTTTTTAAATTTTGAGAATTTTAATTAAAACTAAATTTAAGAATTTAATGTGCTATAGTGGATACACTAAAGCGAATTATATATTGAAAATATAAAAGGCAAAATATAAATTATTTTTTTTTTTAAATTCATTAGAAAAAAAAGAAACAGCCTGTTTTTTGAATTGAAAATGAAATTGAAGAAGACTAAAAAATCTCAATATTTTTATTTTATATATACATAATGTTATTTTTCTTTTTCCAGCTTATATTTTATTTTATGTTTTATTATTTATATTTAAATTTTCAATATATCTATGTATTATATTTATTATTAATATTTAGATTTAGTAATCTCAAAGTATACAAATTAATACGATTTGCTATATAAATATTAACATTTAACATTAAAAAATGTGTGTGTTTTTTTAAGTCTGTACAAGATTACGAATATCAGCTGCTGTTGTTGAGTTATCATTGCAACTATTACTGCCTATTGTACCATTACTTTCTGCATCTATTAGTAAGCTATTTGCATCAATTTCATTCGCACCGGGTGAATAAACAATTTCAGTGCAAATATCTGCATCTAAGTTATCAACTAAAAAACTTTCCAAAAAATTCGGGTCAATTTGATCACCACCAACAGCCATTTGCTCAATTTGTTGCCCAACCATTTGATTCATTTGTTCTTGTACTTGTTTATTAGCCATTTCTAGAGCTCTTTCTAAATATTCTTGTTCTTCTTGGGTTGGCTCTAAAGGTCCGTTTTGTTGAACTAAAAATTATTTATTTGATTTTATATTAGTTTACTGAAAATTTGGTTGTATATGTGTTAATACCTGTCGTAAAGAACTCATTGATTGCATCAACAGGAAGTTGATTTAAAACATTCGTTAAGTCATGTTCCCCTAACGGAATCTCTTCTGCAAGTGGAAATTTATTAATTTAGAATACAAAATGAAATAGTTTTTAATTCAGAAAGTTCCGCTACTTTTATTACATATGCAAAATTAAGATATTATGTTTTCGGAAAATTTTTTTTGAAAATATTACCTATTACGTCGTGAGCATTTGCCATTAATTCGGCGTCACTTAAAGCTCCAAAACCCGTGTCCTCTGAACTTTCGTAAGCTGAACTATTTTCACAAACATTGAAACTGTCCTGCGTAGCGTCATTATTTCCATCTGATATTTTATCCACCTTTGTTACACCCTCTTTTGTATTGGTTAACAACTTAATAACTTGTGCCCCTTGTGCTAATTCAGATACCACATGATTATCTGAATTGTTCTTTGTTGACTGAACATTACAGTCAGCAAAACTTGTAATACTGTTTGAAGAATTAATAACTTGCTTCGTATTTTGTCCACCTCCGCTCTCTTCCATACTTCCGCTTCCAACATCACTACTACTACTGATTATACCATCAGCACTGTTATTTGATATTTCCATTCCACCTAATCCTGAATCAGAGGCTAAAAGTGGTTTTCTTTTTCTTTTATTACGTTTATGATTCACTAAAGGATTATTAAAACTTTTTGTTAAGGCGCCTGATTTGGTGCGTTTTCTTGCAGCTTTTCTTGGCTTATGTTCCTGAATGATTCTTTGATAGTTATCTCTTTTCCAGGCATGTTCTTTACATAGAGGTAGATTATGAGTAATATCAAATACAGGAATCCGACACTGTGTGTTATCCGAAAATTTTGCTGTACAAGGTAGGAACAAATGTTGATCATTATTTCGTGTTATATGTAAATTACAATATGATGTTAAGACTAATGCAATATTGTTGCACGATGATATCGCACAACGTCTTGTGGGTGGGCTAAAAACAGATATAAAATTAAAAAAGAAATTAATTAGTCTTTAAAACAGAAGTTACCACTCATTACGACTACTTTTAAGTTTTTTTAAAGCTTTTGAAACGAACACAAGTCTTTTTCGCGCATTTGTGGGCGATAAAAACTGTCTTGCAAAGTAATATTGCAAAGCCTGCCTTCGTAATTGCGCTTTTCGTAATTCTATACGTTTTTCCCGTCCTTGAGACCATGACGGTATTGAGTTTTTAATATCTTCAATATTTAGCCAGTGCTTTTGTACTTGTAATAAAACTGAATTATCAGCTGCAGATTTTATTTTGTTAAATAACGGAAATGTATCACATTTTGCAAAATTTTCTAATTGACCAAATTCCCTTAATGTATTTGTAGAAAATGGTCCTAAACTGTCAAACACATAAGAATCCGGGGCATGCCATTCGTTTGCTGGTTTCGGAATATTTGATATTCTTTGCAGAGTTTCATGGTGCGAGCTTTGACTATATGCTCTTTTAGTTCGAGACAAATTTTGTGTTTTGTTCGAACTACACGTACTTGTATTATTATTTGAGGAATTGATTTGATTAACTACCTTGAGTTTACTTGTTGACGAACCCGTTGACGAAATTCTTATGTCTCTTTTGGCTGGTGGTGCAGCAAACATAGGTTTTTCTGATGGTTTTTCAATTATTGACGTAGGTATTGTAGGTAATATGATGGGAACCGTAACCTCATCCAAAGTTTTAGATTTTCTTATGTTTGCAGTTTGTAAATTCGGTGAGTTAGAACTTTTTATTACGTTTGAATCTAATTCATTTAATTTATTAATGGAAGAGTTGTTATCCGGATGTAAATTTAAAGTTAATTGCTTTATCTGCTGAGGCTGTGCAAAGTTAGATACTGGTAACCTTTGATTCGAAATCGGATGTTGCTGAAATAGAGAACTTTGCTCTTGTTTTGGTGAAGTTTGTGATGCCAATGTTTTCGGAATGGATGATAAATTATTTGAAGCTGCATTTCCACTGGAATGACTTTTAATCACAGTTTTCTGTGTTGGTTCATTATATGTCTCTAACACTTGTGCGTTGTTACTCAAAGAAAACGCTAAAAATTTTAAATAATAATTTTTTTTATATTATATGTGTTTTTATTTAACAATATTTGTGTTATTAAGTACCTGATTTCTGTTTTATGTTTTGCGGTGGGTTTAATGATTGTTTCTGTTGTTGAATCGTCTGCGATGTTTGGGATGTAACATTTCCCTGAATTGCTGATGTTGTAACAATCTGTGTTTGCCGCGCTACTGAATATAGCGGATGAGATTGGTGTAATGATACTATTTGTGGTACTGTTTGAGTCTGCGGGTTATTTTGACTTTGTTGTTGGAACTGGGCAGGTTGCCCTTGAAATTTCGCTACTGGTGACGCTATACTTGTTTTGCTTATAATCAAACTATTTGAATTTGGTTGAGAGGTTTGAGATATATTTTGAGATTTTATAAAACCAATTGAAGAAAGCGGAGGATTTGTTGAGGATATTTTATGTAAGCCATTAACTACATTACTATTGGACGTAATGCTTACAGGAATCCCATTTAACCGACCGACAACACTGACCGCTTTTTGTGTTTTAACATTGCTGCTTGTTGTGTTAAATATTCTTGGATGCTGATTAAATATTTGGGTTTTCTTAGGAAGAAACTGCCTTACGTTTGCATTTTGTATTATTGGCGTTAATTTATGTATCTACAAGCAGTTTGTTTGAAATTTGGTCATCAAAATAACTTTCAGAGAAAATACTCACTTGTGGATTAAATAATGTGGCTGTTGTAGGTGCCGTGTCAGTAAATGTATACGGATCTTCCGTTATTCTGGGCGCTTGCTGACATGACATATCCAAAATATATATTATCTCAAATACAAATTATATTTTGTTGGAAGAACAGAATCTCCAGTTGTTTTTTACTAGAAAAATGCTAAATTTAACTAAATAGCATTTTTTATGTACATATTTGAAAATTTAAAATAGACTTCTGTACAACTTCGGCATATTTCATTTTATTCTCTACACATAATATAAAATATTTTTTTACTTTCTACACTAAAAATTATATAGAATAATTATATATACACCTAGACGTCAAAAATTCTCTTATCAAGCTTTACTTTGTAAATACTGCTGCAGCAGCCAGAATTACTTTTTAGACAAAATTTTGCAATTTGTTCAAATCATGGAATTTGTGCATCATTTTCTTAAACAAATAGAGTCGATCATTTTCAGTTTTCGAAACATCTAATGACGTAAAATATCGTGCCAAGAAATACTTTTATATATAAGATGATGCTACAAAAAGAATTATAATTGAATTTTGTGGGATAAAAAGTTTTATTTTAGGTCAATGACTGCTCAATCGAACGGGATTCTGCCCACGTACTGATTGTATAAAGCAAGACCTTTGTACTGGACTCTAAACGTACGCAATCTATTCAAATTTCATATTTTACAATTTAAAAGATTAATATTAGTGAAATATTTTAATTAAATTCAACAAAAATGAAAGCCAAGTTGGCTACTGATGTTGTGAGTACTGTGGCGTCTCATCCAGTCATCCATAATCAAAAACATCAAAAATATTTTTTACAATTTTTGCTAAAATCTGTCGAACTAACCTTTAAAAATACTTTTAAAACCTTTTTTCAACAATAAATTTTCTTTAAATAATATTTTCAGTCTTTTTAAACTACAGAAAAGTATATTAAATTCTCTATAATTATAAAGAATAATTTTAATAAAAAAATTTTTATGGAAAATTATTTACGTATGTAAAATGTCAAAATTGTCATTGTGACTTTCGCAATAAAAAAAAGTCCGAACTGAGCGAAAAAAAAGCCTGGATTTTGGTATTACCACATAAGAGTTACCACTAAATGGCCTAAAACTGCAAGGGAAAAGTAGTCGTAAGACTAAAAGAATAAATAAGACCATCTACTACATTTTATACCTTTATTATTGTTCAAAAAGTATCAAAAATTAAATAACTAAAAATTTCAGACAAAAATTTTACTGTAAATAAAGATTTAATGAAAATAAAAATTGGAAAAATTTAAAACTGAACAATTGTACGCTATTAGGCGAGGTTGATATTTAGCTTCGTTCCTTTTTCCAAAGAAAAAAAAGACATACAAGAGTCGTTATGAAAACCAGAAGCATTATTATGCAACGATTTCACTTTACAAATACTTTCATATACAGGAGTTATTCGCATCCTCTAAAATACAAGTAAATTTGAGATTTTTTTCGTTTTTGTGTACGTATTTGTACACAATTCAATTCCATCTATCAAAACTACCGAATTCTTATTAATATTAATGTGTAAATAAAAATTTAATATTTCGAAATTTAATTGATCTCAATATATAATAACAATAACTTACTTAATAGTGAAATTTAGTAACATTAACAAAAAAAAAGCTTGTGAGAAAAAAATAATTTTGTGGACTTACATCAGTTGTCAATTAAGCCAAATGAAATATAGCACCATCTCTACAATAAAATAATGAAATATGTCAGAAATACAGCCAAACATAAAACCTAGCGAAAAAAAACATCAATTTTTTTATTGACAAATGAAAATTACACTTAAATTTGTTTTGTATAGCAAAAAGAATTTTTAATATGGAAGAATTGAAAATCTTCGCGGGTTGTCACTATTGTCATTATTTATGTAAATTGCCGAAAAAATATAACTTTAAATAAAAATATAATTGCATATAACAAATGTAAAATCAGGAAAAAACTATAACTTATTAATTTGCTCTAGAAATAAGGAATAATTTTGATGAAAATTATTGATAAGAAAAAAAAAAAAAGAAATTCGAATAACGGAGTAAAAATCATTTGTAATGAAGTAAAAATGTTCATTCACGAAAAATATTTTCTTACTGTTTTAGGGAAACAAAACTTTTGCTGTTCGGTGTGGTTAAAATTTGTCTAAATTGATAAAATAAACAAATTATAGCAAATTGCTAATTCAATCAAGTGTTTTAAATGCAAAGTACATACTTATGTATGCATGTAATTAGTGACAACAATATGATTGTAACGGTTATAGGCACGTTATTAACACGATATCATTGAGAACCTTAAATTAGAATTCTTTAATGAAACTTAATTTTTAAGGGCAGTTAAAAAATAAAATCTTGTTTAAATAGATAATCTAGTTATAGTAATCTTGTTTAACTAGATAATCTAGTTATACTAATTGATATTTTTTAAGACATATTAAACACTTTTAATATGTTTTAAAATACATTAATTAGGTATTGAAAAATAATATTGCGAATCCAGACATACTTATAAGTAATAAGGGCTAAAGTGTTACATTTTAAAAATGAAAACAGAACAAGAGCGATTTGGCGCGGCATTGAAGGATATTACCGCAGGTCGTTATAATAGCCTAATAAAAATCCTGATTTATCACGGGCAGTTTTGTTAACATCACCATTTTTCTTATATGTATGTGAGTTATGATATGCAAAATACCGAAAACTTGATTTTGCCGTTCCGTTGTTCTGGTTTAAGTCGATTATTGATGTTCTCTGCTTTGGTTCTATTTTTAGTAACACTAAACTAAATTTTTAAAATTTATTCATAATGTTGAATATTGTTTTAAAAACCGTTATGAAGCGCAAAAAAGGTAGAGTGCTTCTCCAAAGAAATCTATAAACTTTCGGAAGGCCGTGTTGCAATATTAGTTTATTTAATTGGTTATTTCTGGCAAGATTTATATGAATGTTTAAGAAAAGCGTGCTCGATTTTTTCGATACCCGATTTACTTTTATTTTACGCATCCACTACGTATAGAACGCATTCAGGAAAAGTGTACAATGTCAAGACTTGTTACTAAACTTTTTGCAATTTGATACTTTGTAAAGTTTACGTCGTAAACGCATTATTGAAGTCACGGTTAGTTATAACATTTGACTATTTTTATTTACATATCTTGACATTTCAATTTTTCGATTTTTGTCAGCTGCGATACATACGTACAAATTATTATTATGTATTTTTATGATAGTTACGCAAATACTAAGATAATTTACTAAGAAAAAAAAATTGATATTTAACTGTAAATTTTAATTTAACAACGTTCGGGCTTGAAGAAGAAATTTACCTGAAGTTATTTTTCCAAAAGTTATTTTTATTTTTAAAATAAATGATATTTATTTTTAAAATAAATGATATTGTATTTTCACATAATATAAATTCATGTATGTACATATGTACACAATGTACATTCAGTAATAAACAAACTCCTAACACTGGGAAATTTCTAGATTAATTAAATTTACATATGTTTGTGTAGGCAGGTAAAACAATTATCATGATTTGTATGTGCATATATTATGAGTTGTATTTATTACGTTTTTGATTTATATAATCATTTTTGCGAATAGAAAGGAGAGCAGGACCCTTAGTAGGTAATGCGATTTTCGTAAAACGATTTTAGACCAATCGATTAGTATGATACTCCCTTTAAACTTCTGCAAGTATGAATTACATTGTAAGATCCCAGAAGTTTTACTTTTTAGGCTCAGTTTCACTTACATACTTATTCAGATTTATGCAGTATGCACATAAATAAGTAAACCTGAAAAGTTTATGTGCGATGTGTGTTAAAAAATGTGTATATACATATTATGTATGTATTTATGTAATATTGTAATGAGGTGGAATTTGAGATCAAAATGTCCTCCATACATACTTACATATATATGAAGTACGTTTATTTACATATACATTTTTAATGAAAATTAACAATCAACTATTGTTGGAGTTTTGAAAATAAAACTATCACTTATACGATAACTGAAATACCTATACATATATGTATATACTTGTATTTTCTTAATTTTAGTTGAAAATATTTTTATGAACATAATATTCATATAAATGTTCAAATGTACGTACATATGTATATATATATGTGTATCTATTATTTACATATGTATGTATGTATGTACACACATTTAGTTTTCGTTTTTTTTTTATGGTTTTCGGTACCACAATGAATTAAGAAATTTCGAATATCTATTATGAGCTTCATGTTCCTTCAAAAATATAACATTTTAACAGAATCATTCATATTCTCTAAGATGCATCTTTTGAGATATGGGATTTTATTCAAATATTTTGTAGCTTTCAGAATAAAATCATTTCCAGAAGATTAATACGCCATAATTCCAAATAATGTGTGTAAGGGAATATCATGTTGGTTAACAATGTCGTTATTGTGGTTAATAAAGAATTCAACAAAGATATGCTCTTGGATTCATTATTCAGTGTTTGTTAACAACATATAATTTCAAGAAATATTTAATATTTTGCGTTAGAGATAATTAAGCAAAAATGTTAATGATTATGGCTGCTGTCATCATTGCCAAGAAAAAGTTAATCAATGGAAAATTGAGTGAATGATAAAAAGTTGTTGCTAATGTTAGCGATAAAAATAATGATGACAAGCCTCTACATCTTGCACTAAAACAAATAGAAAAACAAAGCCAATAAAATTAATGAAAGTATTAGTGCAAGTTTTAACTTTGCTTAATCGCACATAACGTTACCCCAGAATTGTGGGAACTATTAATAAATATTATTGTTAATTATTGTTTTGTTTTAATAACCAAAGAAGCATTTTATTTTGAAGTGTTTGTAAAATGTATTTTCAGTTGTTTACGTTTTGAAAAAGTAAAAATGGGGCTAAGCCAAAAAAAAATTAAAAGTTGAATAGAATACTTTATGCGTGAGCGTATAGGCATTATAAATTGTGTGTTTAAATGTTTATTAATTTGTAAAACACTCACTTATGTATGTATGTATATAATTGTAAATTGATGTATGTAAGCGATAATTTGAAAATAATCGAAATATATTAAGGTATGATTTACAATATTATATAACGTATGTATGTATGTGTCAATATACATAATAATGTGTCAACAATTTTGAAATAAAAACAAACTATAAGGTAGCGCTTAATAATTTTATAAAATAGCTATGATGGCTTTTTTTCCGATTATTATATTTTGATAATATGAAAAAAAATACATAAAAAGTTTAACTTTATTGATAATAAATTGAGCTAATTGGTTAAACTTTTAATTATTATTTCACTAAAATTTTAAAGAACCTCATTCTGTACCTTGATTTTTAGTCGCACTCATTTTCCAACTAGATTTGTTTGTTCTCTAATATTCTAAATTATTTTTCAATTATTATGAGAATTATGTTAGAATTGAAGAGAATAGAAGGAGACTATAAAACGGTAATTATTACTTAAACAATTTAGACATTTTTATTTATATGCATACATATAAATTTTTTTTTACAATCTAATATAAAATTCTTTAATGCTAATATTACTTGTAAGTTGCTATTTGCACACTTGAGTTTTCTAAATTCGGCGTCGTCATTTTTTCTTTGTCTTTCACTCATGTATCCTTTTATTCAGTTTTGTAACAATGCTAACATGATCCAGTAAAACGATAAATGAGTTTAAAACATACTTATATACATATTTACCATGTAGATATTGTAAGGTAATACCTATGCATAA